GAACCCGGCCGCATTTGCTGGAAGCCTCAGACAGATGTTAGAGGACGCCGTGGAGTTGATCGATGACGCAACGCGGCGATCCCGCGAGGGGGCTGTAGATATAATGTTCATCGGTGGGGACTGAAAGTGCTGGCAAGAAGGCGAAAACGGCGTCGGCCCGATGTGGGACGACGTTGCCACCCTGGTCGGAGCCGGGATGAATCGTCGGATTGAACATTACAAAACAATAGGAATGTTCCCCAGAATAATGATCCTAGACGGCGTGAGCCTGCACCGACAACTTAAGCACCGCCCAGGAGACGTTTTCCATTGCAGTGCTAGCCACCCGGAATATAAATTGAACAATGGAAGTCGACTTCAAAACGTTATTGCCGCCGAGTTGTGTGCCGATTATATGATCAAAACGGCCAAATTGGCTATGGCATGTTTCTGTCAGCCTTCCGGCGGCTCAGCCGTTTGGGACGGTCACATAAAGTGCGCCACGAGAGAGGATGGATACGCCAAACAGGAAGCAAAAGTCCAATACCTTGTCATGTACTGGCAAGACTGGTCTTCCGAAGAAGGCAAGATCCCCAAGTCGATACTTGGCGCGCCCCCATTCAGGGAGCCATTGGCCGATGTCGATTTTCCAGCCGTTTCAAACGGGACTGGAGGTGGTGCTATACACTCGTTTTATTCAGTTTACTTCAAAGATTTCCTCAATAAGGGGGCTGCGTACAGTGACTTCTTCCCATGGACGGATGATGCTTACTTTTTGCCCCGCGGAGAAGTTTTCTGCCCTGGAATGCCACCGAGAGGAAAGACCCAGAGACCAGCGAACGAGGGAGTGCAGAACGATGAGCCAACGCGTGCTGCACTCAATGCGTTTAACAAAGCAGCGCCGGCGGCTGCACCGAGCGGCTTAGCCGTTGCGGTGAGCAGTGCAACGCCAGGTGGCATAGCCATCCCTGTACCTGCTGAGGTGTCAGCAGGCGCGGCTGCTGCGACCGAGAAGACCAGGCCCGTCGGCTCAGCCGCTACGGGCTCTGGCTCCAGCGCGCGAACGGTTCGCTCACCACGCGCCCCCCCACTGGCTCCTCCATCCGATGTCAAAGAGATCGAGACACCTGGTGAAACAGCAGGAAGAAACATCCGCGATAAATGCCCAGAGCGTAAATTGTGCACGCTCAGTCAGCGTTGCAAATTTCCGAGGAGGCCAAAAGATGTGCACCCTGGACATGAAGAATATTATTGGCCATATCATCACACATATCAGCAGATAAAGAATTTACCTGTCCAAGGTTCAAAGACATGAGAGGTTATTTACCATGACTTCCTTTGCTCGTTTACGGTTGCCAGCGGGAACCTTCATCGGGGCATGGTGCCTTTGAACGCCTATCCAGGGGAAGAAGGTCGCGCAGCAGAGGTCGCTCAGGGAAAAGAACCGGCCGGGAGCTGGCAAAGAATAACGATTTTGATAGATGGTAATAGTGAAGCGTGGCTTGCCTCTCAGTTGCTTCAAAAAACGACAAGAGCCCCGCTAATGACCCGGAAGTATTTAGTGCCAAACTGGGCCCGCTTCTTCAGGATCAAGGCCGATAGGTCGATAGCAAGCCCGACAGCCATTGTGGCTGACCGCTTAAATTGGGCCAAGTTGAGAACGAGATCCCATAAGGTTGGCAGGGCCCACTGCGTTGAATTAGCGTTGCCTTTCCTTGTGACGGAAGAAAAGCCTGCGGAAGTCTCAGGCTCATCCGCCGGATGGACAAAACAGTCACACGGCACATCTGTGATTGCCTTTCATGTTATTTTGGAGGGTCACCAATTGCTCCCATCAAACCCCAAATACGGTGGAAGTGTGAAAACGCATGTGGTTGGGGCGTAGTCATTCCCATGTTCTGACAACCCCAACACTCACACCACGTACTCGATTGCGGAGGAGACCTTTGGAGATGGCATTTGGGTTACTGCCGAAATTGTCTATTATGCCAGGACGACAAAGTCCATTAAAGGATCGCCAACTCAGTATGTGAGTGATCCAATGACTGATGTGCTATACGAGCTGAGACTCTACCATTGGACCGCGGCAGCATTGTGGGTTACTGAAGCGCGGTCACATTTACTGCATATTGCCAGACAAAATGAATGGAACCTGGAAGTGGATTTTGAGGTCGAAAGGTATCGAGATGAGGAACGGACCGACGAGTATGCCTTGGACTGCCGTATCCGTGCCGCTGTTCAAACGGACGACAAAATAGAAAAGTGGGCCCATAAGATGGGCAGGGAAGTACAAAATGATGTTCGTCGCCACGGTGCTCTTATACAGGAAGCCATTTCTTGGCTTCAGGATAAATATCCTGACCGTGGTACTGAACTCCAGGACAAAGATTATGGACCCTTCCGTACTGCGTGCGGAAAATGGTGTCGCTGCAGCGACAGCTGCCAGGAGTTTAATTACAATTCATGAGAGATCGTAGGAATAACAATCCAGACCACGACGGCGAAGCCGAGCTCGCGGGGCCACGGGCGCAGGCGGGAACGATGGCTAGACTTGCATCGCGCCCTCCGCCTCTTAGACCTGGCGTCTCAGACGTTCGGGCATCCGAGGAAGCCACCGAATCCCCGCGTTCTGTCGCCGGCTCAGCCGTGACAATAAGGGAGACATACCCTCAGCATCCCAGCATAATGGATCGGTCGGATTCACGACGCGCGCGCGATGGGGCCCTGGATGCTGCCGGCGGCGCGGCCATGGATGCTGCCAGCGGCGCGGCCATGGATGCTGCCAGCAGCGCTGCCGACCGCAGCTACGAGTATGACCCGTCCATGTCCTGCCCGCGCTACGTGAACAAAACCCACGCCGGGCACTACGTCCATCGGAACAGGATCACGCGGCTGCCCGACGACGAGTGGTATACTCTGAACTACTGGCACGCGCTATCAACATATGAGCACAACTTACGCTTCCCGTCAAAAGGGACAGCATCAAAGAGCGACACTGACAAAGGAAGAGGGCGGTCCCGCACGCCTCGTGGCGTGGACGCACAGACGGGAGGATCGGCGTCGTCAAACCCGCCGCCTCCGGCGCCGCCCAGAGCAGAGGACGAGCCCAACCCGTTTGAGGACTTGAGCTGAGTTTCGCCCGCGTGACTCAGTCGCGGCAGGCGCATGCAAGACAACTTCATCCACGCGCGGAACGCGTGTTGGACGCGAATGCCCCTGCTGGTCGGCTAAGCCGGTCCAGCGGAGAGAATTTATTTAGCACAATGGTGGGAAACGTCGAGACTCTTCGGCCCTTGGCCCCCTGGCAGCCACCGTTGAGGTGTAAAAGCTTTTTCGGGTTGGCTCCGGTGGTTGTACATATGTACAGGCTGGGGGTGCTGTGGCTGGATGGACTCTACGCGGCCCGCCGCGGGGGGAGTAAATATGCTCCTCTCCGCCTCATGTTCAATTAGAACTTGACTTAGTTTGCATGCGTTGCACTGTCCGCTGGAATTAACAGCTGCGATCCGCAGCTGTATGGATGCTCGAACAAGCCAGCCTTGGCTTGCAGGAGAGAAAAGGAGCGCGCCAGCCCTCGGCCGTCGCGCGTCGTCGGTGGTAGGCCAGCCGGCCTCCTCCCTTCACATTCCTGATAGAGTAATCTTGCTTAACGGATACTTGTCCTATCGATGTATCATCCCGTCCCCTCTCTCCCTGAGCAGAGTGAACATGAGATCTTAATTTCTTTGTCATCTTACCCCGATTCTCAGAGGAAAGACTCATCTTGGGGCCTTTTTGGGGCGTTTCAGGGTTGTATTTAAGGCCATCTTGGGCGTCTTGGAGGCCTCTTGGGCCGTATTGGGGCCCTTCAAGGGCCGTCTTGGGAGCCTCTTGGGCCGTCTCAGGGCCATCTAGAGCCTCTTGGGCGATCTTGGGGCAACATTTGGGGCCTCTCGGGCCGTCGGGAGCTGTTTTGAAGCGAGTGGTTTTCAGGGCCGCCGGGATATTTATGCGCAGCGGCGGCACGCGTTCTTCATGGCCGTCGCGGCCACACCACGCGACCGTCGCGGCCACATTGATTCAATCGTCGTCGCAGTCGCGCTGCGACCCCCGCTCGCGGCGCGCCCGCGCCGCTGCCTGCTTGCGACCTAGCCGCGCGCACCCGCGCGCCCCCAACCCGCAACCCGACCTGATCGCGACTAGGGGGCCACATGTGAACCCTACCCCTACCCCCCACGATTTCTGAGGGGGGGGGTGAGGTTCACTTCGTTCGGGAGCTCCACCCTCCCCCTCAGAAATCGTGGGGGGTAGGGGTAGGGTTCATATGTGGCCCCCTAGCGACGCATCTTGCGCGACCAGACCCGCCCGCGATCATCCGCGACCATCTGCGTAACTTGCTGTGCAGACCAACGGAAAACGGCGACCGCCGCGCGTCGTTCTGCGCTGGTCCTGTGGCCTACCAGTGCGCGCCACCCACGCGACACGGCGACGACAGGTTCGGCGTGCGACGCACCCCCGTTGCCTCAACCACATCGGCTCCCGCATCTGACCGACCCACCCCGAATTGCGGCTGGCTGCTTAACTCTCCGACCTGCCCGACCGACACGCCGACAACACGCCTTGCTATACGGGATAGCACAGTTCGACGCGCGCGCTTGCGTGTGCGCATTTGAATTTGGATTGAGGGCGCTGGACAGTTAGTTTGCTCCGCTTCAATCGCTCGCTCTGCCAAGGCAGGCATACCCGGTGCCGTTTTCACTCGTATCTGCAATTTCGGTGAACTAGGTACAGTATTGCGCAGATGCTTTCATTGTTATAGAGAATGTTTGTCTCTCTCTCTCTCTCTCCCTTCCGGTTTGTCTCGCTATCATTTTCTCTTTTCCGCTCTCTTGTGTTCCGCTTCACTTGGACTGTCCTTCTCATGGTCTCTTCCCGCCTCCGTCTCCATGACCACCCTCTCTAGCTTTCGTTGTTATGTGTTCTGTCTTCTGCCACTAACTTTTGGCCAGCTGGTTCGGGCGGGAGTTGCTCGACCCCGGCAGGTGCCCGACCCGCACAACAAGTGGTACCACAAGTCCGCCGAGGTTCCGAGCCTCATCTCGCTGCTCTTTGCCTTCGTCGTCGTCGCCCACATCGTTGCCGTCGTACTCTTCTCTCTCTCCCTCCCTCCTCCTCCTCCCTCCTTCATCCTCCTCCAGTTAGTTAGGTATCCGCACTCCGGACAGTTTGCAAGTCCTGACGCGTCGCGTATCCCCATCAGCCCATCCAGAAAGGATGCCCAGGCAATCTTCTGGGATCATGGAAGTGTAGGAGCACGCAGTGGAGCATAGAAAAACGACAGCCGTAGATAGAAAGCTCACGATCATGCTGAGCAGGCCCAGTAGTGAGTTAGACATGACATGTGATTTCCCCTTGGGCTTGGGCTTGAAGAATTTCCTCTAGGTCTTATGGTCGTCTTGGAGCAATACTGGGAGCCTTTGGAGCTTTCTTGAGGCGTTCCTGGGCCCTCTCAAAAGCCTCACGGGCCCTCTCTGGAGGACCCAATGTCGCCTCTTGGAGCCCTCTTAGGGCGCTCTTGGGGCCATCTTCTCGAAGCCCTCTTTGGCCTACCTCGGGGCCCCCTTGAGCCATCTTTGAGTCATGTTGAGGCTTCCAAAGCCCATCGGAAGCAGCACAACGAGAAGTCACAGGGGACGTCCTTTCAAAACCCCGTGGCCATTTGGAGCCGTCTTGGTGCGGTCTGGGGGACACTAAGGAGCTGTTGTAACATGTAGATTAACAGATCCCGGACTATCGTGTTCCATGTTGAAGGCCATCTTGAGCCATCTAGGGCCCTCTTGGAGCCATCTTGGACGCTCTGACCGCACGGCCCCCCTCCCCGTTCAGACCCTGGGGGCGGGGTTAGGTGGAGGGGTCAAGCTGCCCGCACGCCACAAGCCGTATCGTTCATTCCCACCCCCCTCCCATCACATGAGTAGCCCCCGCATCCGAGTCTCAGTACATTGAGTGCTCGCCATTAGATTGACAGCCACCGCGGACCAGCACACGCTTGCAAGATTACAGAGGGCAACCAGAGGAGAGCAGCACTCTCCACCTTCATAGTTGGAGGGTAGACTTTATGACTGTGGAACTCGTTGTTGCCTGGACTTTGCACGTCGCGGGCCGCCAATTGAGCCCTGTTTGTTTTTGTTTTGACTAGGGCCCCGCGTTGGTTGAAGAATCCGATCTCCGACCTGTATGTGGTTGTTCATTCCCTGAACAGCTTGGCTGTGAGGGTTTCTAAAATTCTTCACGAACCGAGAGGCGGGCCGCCGGATCCGTCGCGTGGCCTCCCGTGGCCTCCCATTGCCGTCCCCATCCGTGTTGCGTGGATTGCCATACCCTCCAATTGCCGTCCTTAGCAGCCCAGTTGTTTCTGCCTCAACCCTACCCCAGATCCCCATCCTTCTTGTCCCTATCATATAGTCCTATATCATACATCCCTATTTCATTAGATCCCTATTCAGATCCTCCATTAAGGACCCCATCGTAATTGTGTAAAGCTGGTTTGGGCAATCTGCCGCAACGATTTCATACGTTGTTTATTCACTGGTATGACGGAGCGCCTTTATTTCTGTTAACAGGCACCAGACAGGGCGCGAGTGCGTTTTCTTGATGAGCCTTGCCTAAGTTGCTCGTATCTGCAGCTGGATTATCCTTCGTCGTCGTGCTTCGCCAAACATGGCGCAGGCTCTGAACTTGGACATCAGTCAGGCAGGTGATACTCTCTGGCCTGCTTCAATCACGCCGATGACCATGCACAGGTGGCACGGGATTGGTAAAGCTGTATTCGAGAAGGGGTGGCACAGGTACAGGGCCATAAGGAAGTAGAAGCGATGAGGTCAAGAGGGCAAAGAGAAGAAGGGGAATAGGTTCATCAACGACCTTACATCAGATGCACATCGCATTTCTGTGTCGTTGCCTAAGTCACAGGGTGGTTGAATGCTTACTTTGTCCTGCTCCTCGCTGGCGCCACGGCCTTATATCGGGAAGTGGAGGAGAAAGATGATGATGTTGATGATGATGATGATGAGGAGGAGGAGGAGGGGGGAGGGGGAGGGGGAGGGGGAGGGGGAGACGGAAGAGATTGCGGATACAATGGAGGAGGAAGAAGAGGAGGAGAAGGAGGGAGGGATGGACAAGGAGGAAGAGAGGAGAAGGAAGAGGAGGAGAGAGAGAGAGAGGGAAACAAAAAAATGATTCCATGATCATGATTGATGGGTTCGGTCGGTTGCGGCTCTGGAAGGGGCCGCAGGCTCTTTCGGTGCACCCAGCGACAACATATGGCCATTTGAAGAGAAGGCGACAGCGAGGGAACAGCACGTTTACATACACATGGATATTGAATTATACTGCTACTATGTACAGATATAATGTGTGGGCATGCGTGCCTATATGTATGTATGAATGCATGTAGGTAAGTAGGTAGGTAGGTAGGTAGGTAGGCATGTGTGTATGTATGTGTATGTGTGTCTGAATGTAGGCATGCATGTCGAAGATGTGTGTGAATATACATGCATGTTTATACGCATGTAACGTTTGTACATATATATATATATATATATATGCATACATGCATACGGTGGGACGATTCCGTCGAACCGGCTGGGCACCCCCCCGGCGAGGCAGACGGTGCTGGACATGCTGGAGTCGATCGGGGAGGACCCGAGCCCCTACAGCATCTGCGGGGGGCCCCTCTGCGGCATGATGGAGGACGGGGGCGTCACCGAGTTCACGGCGTACCAGCACGGCGCCCAGCAGAAGCCTCCCGCGGCCGGGGCCCTCTTCTGGGGAGGGGCCCGAGTCAGCTCCTCCTCCTCCTCCTCCTCCTCCTCCTCCTCCTCCTCCTGAGTTGTTCCGCCATCGGGCACGCCCGTCCCAGGGCGGACGGAGTGTTCGTGCCCCTGCGGCAGCCGGTACGCGTTGCTGCAGACTGTTGCTATCTGCCTCGGGGCAGGCATCCCTTGCCTGAGGCCATGATTCGTCCGCTGACGGAGGGTCCGCAGCTCGAACGGTTCCTGGTGAGCAGGTGTAGGCATTGTGGCCGCGCGCGGCGTCGGCCGGCGCCAGTTCTCCACTCCCCAGTTCCCCTCAGTTGCACTGAGTTTCTTTCGGTTGCACTGAGTTTCCACTCAGTGACATTCATATTCCCCCAGGTACATTCATTCTCCTTTAGTTATATGCAGTTTTCCCTGGACATCCATTTTCCTTCAGTTACACTCAGTTTTCCTTGTCACTCAGTTCCCTTCAGTTACATTCAGCTTTTCCTTTACACGCAGATCCTTCATTACACCCAGCTTCTTTCAGTCACTTCCCAACTTGCGCCAGCGCAGAATGCAGAAAACTGATACGAAACTGAGTGTAGCAGGGGGTGCTCCGTTATTAAGACGTTGTTCCTCCCCCTCCTCCTCGTCCTCCTCCTCCTCCCCTTCCTCCTGTTACACGAAACTGATCGGAAATTGAGTGTGACAGGGTCCGTCCCGTTACATACAGTTTCCTCTTCCGTCTTGTCTTCCTTTTATCCCGTGTAGATTCTGCCATTCGTGCTCACCTGGCCGCGTCAATTGTCCCAATTCCTCCTCCTCTTCTGGCTCGGGGAATATGTTTGCGTGGCGCCTTGTGGATTTGTTGCGATGGTCATTTTGTGCAGTGACTTGCAATCATATTCTAAGGTTTCTCTGGCTGGGGAAATCGGTTGGCGCGGCGCTGGACGGATATTTAGTCGTTCGTTGTAGTCAGATTCTAATGACCGTCTGGGGGAATCGGTTTGTGTGACGCCGCGTGAATATTGTAGGAAGGGGGAGTGGTTTCTGCCGTTTGTTGCAGTGATGTGCGAAGGTCCAGCTGAAGGACGTTTGCGCGGAGTTGCGTGGATATTGTCAGTGGGGGGGATTCGTTTTGTCGCTTGCTGGGGCGATCTGTTTGCGCGGCGCTGCGTGGAGATGTTGGAAAAAGGACATTCGAGGTGTCGCTTGTTCCAGTGATATTTGAAGCCTCTGCTGGAGGAATATGTGTGCGTGTCGCCGCGTAGACATTATGTAAGGGGGGACGTGTTTGGTCGGCCGTTGTATTGGTATTATAAGGCTTGGCCGAGGGATGTTGTTTGCGTGTCTTTGGGTGGATCTCTTGGGGAGGGGATGTTGTTTTGCCGTTTGTTGCGGTGATATTGTAATGTCTCGCTGGGGGGATATGTCTGCGTCCCGCGGTCAGGATCTTTTGCGGGGGAGGTGAATGTGCGTGTCTCGTGTGCTGTAGTGTTACTTGAAGGCTTGGTTGGGGGAATCTGTTTGCGCGGCGCTGCATGGATATTCTCGGGAGGGGTGAATTATAGTACGTGTGTGTTGTAATGATATCCTCAGATCCAGCTGGAGGGATATGCTGGCGTGGCGTTGCGGCTATTTTTTGGATGGGGAAACTATGCCGTGCCGCTCGTTGTCATGATAATCAGAGGCCTGGCCAGGGGAATATATGTGCGCGGGGTTGCGTGCATCTTCTCGGAGGGGGGATTCGTGCTGTTGTTCGTTGCAGTGCTCGGGGAATCGTTTGCTTGCTGCTGCGTGGATGTGATTGGAGGGCGAGTCTGATTTGTTGTTTGCGGGGGTGGAAGGGTGGAATTGTAAGTGTGAGAATATGTTTGCCTGGCGCTACGGGGATATTGTGTGGGGGGAATTAGTTGTGTCGTTTGCGGTCGTGATATTCGCTGGTCTGGCTGAGGGAATAGGTTTGCGTGGCGATGCGGGGATACGTGTTTTTTTAGGGGGATGCAGTTTCGTCGCCCGTTGTATTGACATTATGCGCGGCGGGTGACTGCGTTTTGTTGTTGGGTTGCATCAGATTCTGAAGTCTGGCTGGGGGGAATATGCTTGCGTTGCGCTGTGGGGATATTATGGAAAGGGGGTAATTCGTTTTGTCGTTGGCTGTAGTGAAAGTCTGAAGCTTAGGTTGGGGGAGTGAGTTTGCGCGACGGTGCGTGGATATGTTACGAGAGGGGGTTGTTTGGCCATGTGATTTTTAAAGATTCGCTGGGGGATATTTTGGCGCGGCCGTGCATGGATGCTGTGCGTGTGCGGGGGACCTTTTTGGTTTCGTTTCATGAGGGAAGATGTTGTCGCGTTGCTGTATAGAGTGTGTCGGAGGAGAAATCCGGGGTAATTTGTTTTGTCGTTTGTTGGGGGACGGAAGAATTCGTTTCGGCCCTTGTTACAGTGAGGTTGGAGTTGGTTGGAGGAATATAACTGCGCGGCGCTACGTGGATATTCTGGAAAGTGGAAATGCGTTTGGCCGGATGTTGGAGTAATATTATGAGGTTTTGCCAGGGGATTTTGTCTGCTTGGTGTTTGGTGGATTTTTTGAGGAGGGGGGATCTCATTTTCTAGTTGCGGCAGTGACAGTCTAAGGTCTCGCTAAGGGAATATGTCTGTGTCACGCGGAGTGGATAGTTCACGAGGGAAAATATGTTTTTGTGTCGTGTGTTGTGGTGGTATTTGAATCTCTGGCGAGGGGAATCTGTCAGCGTAGCGTTCCTTAGATCTTGTGGGAGCGGGGGATTCGTTTCGCCAAAAGGGCGCAGTGATTTTCTAACGTCCGCCTGTATGAAATGATTTGCCCGGCGTTGCTTGGATTTTGTGCGCGTGGGGGGTAGTTGTACCGTTTGTTGCGGGAATATGTTTCCGTGTCGTTGCGTAGATCTCGTGATAGGAGGAATTCTTGACATTTCGCGTATCCCCACCAGCGACCTCTGGCGCCCTGTGGCGACAAGGTCCAGTTCACGTACCTGGTGTTTCAGCTCCCATGGTACCCGCACGTTCGCAGCTTCCTGGCAGCCCCAGCAGCTTGCAGTCCCCACCCTCGGCGCTGGTTCTCAGCCTCGGCGGTTGCAGCACGGCCCCGGCGCAGCTGCTTCCCCCGGCGGTAGGTCCTGCTTTCTTTTGCGCGCGCGCCGGCAATTAGGTTCGCTTGTAGCCCGAGCCGACTCGACCCGCTGCAGGCGCCTTCGCCTGCGGCTGCGACAAAAAGTATCCCCACCAGCCCATCCAGTTACGATCGCCAGGTGAGTTCCCTTGATGAAGGCAGCGTAAAAGCATGCAGCGCAACAGCCGCCTTAGACGCATTTTCGGGGGGGCGGGGAGGGCGGGAACATTTGATGTATGAGTCGTCAAAAGGTAGGTTGAACAGGTCGACCTGGCGCCGTTGGAGCTTTACGGGGGTCTTCCGGGGGTCCTCTTCGACAAACGTTGACCTGCCACAGTTCTGGCATCGGGGAGCGGCTCCTGCACCACAGTGCTGCCAATGTTTTTTCCCCGAATGGGTTTAGAAAAACATCAAATCGAATTGTCCTGAGTGAGAGAGGAGGAAGGGGGAGGAGGAGGAGAAGGGGGAAGAGGAGGGGAAGGAGGAGGTTGCGTTCGGCCCTGGATGCGTCACTCGTCGCCGATGTTTTTTTTCCGAACGCGTTTAGAAGGAGCAGGAGGAGGAGGACTAGGAGGAGGAGGAGGAGGAAGAGGAGGAGGATGAGGAGAGGGAGGAGAGGGGAGGAGGAGAGGAGGAGCAGGAGGAGGAGGAGGAGGAGAAAGGAGGAGGAGGAGGAGGTGGAGGTGGAGGTGGAGGTGGAGGTGGAGGGGGAGGTGGAGGAGGAGGAGGAAGAGGAGGAAGAGGAGGAAGAAGAGGAAGAAGAGGAAGAAGAGGAAGAAGAGGAAGAGGAAGAAGAAGAAGAAGAAGACGCAGAAGAAGAAGAAGAAGCAGAAGCATAATAAGAAGAATAATAAGCAGAAGAAGCAGAAGAAGCAGAAGAATAATAAGAGGAGGAGGAGAAGGAGGAGGACGAGGAGAGGTCTTAGTGGTCCTTAAGGCCTCTTGGAGCGTCTTTGATGCCTCGGAGGAGCCTCTTGGGGCCTCTTTGGGCGCCTCCCCGGTGATGGTGGGCGCCCCTTTGGGCTCTATTGGGGCCATTCGGGAGGAGATCGACCAAAGGAGGGGGGTAGAAATTTAGCCCCCCCCCCTTTCGGAGGCTTCAGACATCGGTTCTTGAGGCCGTCCTGGGGTGCTGTTGGGCGTGTCTTCGGCGCTCTCGGGGCCGTCTTGGGCCTCCTTTGGGCCATCTAGGGGCCATCCTGAGGCCCAAGAAGCCCATCGGAAGCGAACAAGCGAGAAACCCCAAACCTGGATGTACTAAGGTTGCTGAAGGATCTTTACCTCTCGGAGAGTGCCTTGGGAGGCTCGAAGGGCATTCGGAACCCTCTTGGGGCTCTCTTGGGCCGTCTTGGAGGCATGCCGGAGGCTACCTTGAGCGATGTGAAGGTATTTGGAACCATTTTGGAGGCCGTCTTGGGCTGTCTTGGGCCTTCTTGGAGCCATCTTGCGCCATCTTGGGGGTTCTGACGACTCGGGGGGGGCTCCCTTCCAGGCCCAGGGGAGGGGAAGGGGGAGGGGTAAACCACTCCCCTGGAAGGGTAAACCACTCCCCCGAGCAGGGAAAGGAAGGGTTGTGGCAGGGAGCTGAGAACAACTCGTTAAACCACTCAGTCCTGAGGGCTGGTGGAATTCAATGTGTCGTATGTTTCAGTGTATTTGAAGCCCCAGCTGGGGCAATATTTGGACATTTTCAGAGGGGGATTCGTTTTGTTGGTCGTTGTAATCAGATCCTCAGGTGCCGCTCGGGGAATATGTTTGCGTGGCGCTGCGTGGATATTTCTGGGGAGGGCGAATTCATTGTGCTGTCGCTTGTAGTAAGAACTTCCCGACGGGA